GGAGGCGTGTTGACGCGTTGCCACCACATCACCCAGCGCAAGGAATTCTCATCGGCGTAGGGCGTCAAGAAATCCTCCCGAGATGGGCAAGAGTCGTAGCCTTGAAGCACTGTGAAGTGCACCAAGAGGGCACCCAAGTCAGGACATCGATCCTTGGAAAATCGAAACGCACAACGCAACAAAACCAAGTTCTGTTGCAGCAAAATCAAAAAACTGAAGTGAATCGATGGGTCCTTGTGTCGGAAGCTCTCATCCTTCACAAAGTCTATGATTCGCTTCGCCACCTTATTGCGAAGAGCCGCTTTTGTGTCCACCAACCAACGGAAGGTGCGCCAGAAGTTGCAGAGTGCTTCGAAGGTGGCGATCGCCGCTGACTTGGGAGCATCTGGCCGCATCATTTCCACGATCATCTGGTTGATGAGTCGAGGAAACACCTCTAAGATGGCATCATTTTCATCCTCCACCTCAAAAGCTCTCAATGCGATGGATCGCACTTGCTTCACAAGCTCGTGTTGCCATTGACTCCTGCCAGCTGCATGCGCCTCATTGATCCACACCGGCAAGAAGAACTCGAACGTGGACTTGTCGGTATTCTGCCGCAGACCCCCATCGAAGGCCTCCTTCAAGCATCTACTCAAGGTGGCTTCGCAACACCCGAACTACAGAGGGGACATCCACAATGAACCTGCGTCACGCAACAGAAAGCATACCCCTTATTATGCAGTACCATGCACTGACATTATCGTCGATTGGTGATTCTACCTGAAAATGCACAGAACATGAAGAACTTCACAGGTATCCATGCTGGCAGCCCGCAACACTCCTTCGAAATCAACTCTGCCGCAGTGCCCAGGTTCTTCTTCTCCCGGCTGATGCCGACTCCCAACAATGCCTCGGTGTAGAGCTTTCCGGTGCTCCAGCAGCGGATATTGGGATCCACCTTGCAGCGGTGTGAGTGTGAGCCTTCAGTCCTCATGGATCCCGGATGATGCCGGTTTCTGGTGTGATGTCGCACAATCCAAACCGGCCGCTTTGAAGACAGGCTAAAAGGAGTATATATGGCACAACGGCGTATTCAAAATCTTCCTATCTGATCTATAAAGTCACAACCCACTGTGGCATTGACCGTCCACCTTCACCCCAAACCCCGGCCGCCACCTCTTGCCGTTTTTCAGCTGGTTGACCTTCGGATTGCACCAGCTGCATCAACTCCAACATGGTCTCAAAGTCGGACTGCGGCAGCTTCACCTTTTTTCACGTTTTAACACCTTTTCTCAGTTATTGAACTCCTTTCTTGAACTCGATCCCCCACGATGTGTGCAGTTCAGTACATCTCCAACACGTTTGCTTCAGTTTGTTTCTCCAGCTGTTTCAGTCTTCCACTGCGCCTTCTCCTGAAAGCTTCGCACCCGCTTCGCCAGCTCCTCGTTCCGACACAGCTTTAGCAATCGCTGCTCGGACCGCTGGCGCTCGCGTAGCTCTCGGACCTCATCCTCATCCAAGATCTCCTGGCAAAACGCGGGGTCCCGTGGGTCCTACAAGAGCAAATAAAAATGCGCTTATATAGATGCAGTAGAAAAGGTGGGATGCTTGGAGAAGTGGCGCGGTAATCAACCAAAAACTGTGCTTGGATAACATGTAATTTTTGAAAGGATTTGATGGCTTCTGAACAGTGAAGTCTACATATATCAATAGGAAGGTAGTGGAATGAGCAAGCCAAAGGTACACACCAGACACGTCTCGGTTTATTGCGTCTGAAAAAACAGTTCCTTTGACCAAGATTTTCTCCAAGTCTCCAAAATGGCTCTTGGATTCTTCTCACAGAAGCGCACTGCGCTCTGGTAGGTCGTGTCGCGCTCACGTTGCGACATTTGCATACCCAGGTCCTTTCTCAGTCTCAAGTTCAATCTGTTGAACAAAAGCGAACAACCGCAATCATTTGAATCATGATAGTAAAAAATCAGTGTACCTCCAGACAACAAGGAACTGTATGGCAGTAAAGCTCTACTGTTGTGAAAACACTATTGGAAGCTAATAAGAAGAAAACAAACCTGCTAACATATTGTTCACCAAGACAACTCCGCCCTCCGCGTGATCCCGCTCCGACAACACGGACTGCAGCTGCAGCAGTAGCGTGGTCACCGTGTATGCGGGGCTCCAGCCGCTCCCGACCGTCTGCTTCCACTCCGTGTGCACAAAATCGAAATTGCCCAAGACGTCTAGACAAATCACCTGACAAAACATGGTAGAAGGCTGGCGAATTAAGAATCAATGAAAGCCGCGTGATAATGGCAAGCAACTAATTAGTAACTAGGATGATCCATGAAGATTCCTTGATGGCATGTGATGTAAACACAATACCACACCCTCCAATGAAGCCTTGGGCTTGAGTCCAGTGTCCTTGATATCACCAGCGAATGCCTTTGTGGGCATCCACATGATGAAAAACAACAAGAATAATTTCAGCCCACACCTTCTTCCCTTTCAGCCTTCCATCTTGCTGCACGTAAGAAGCACCACCCCGATACTCGAACTCAAAGGAGAAGCCAATCTTCGGCGCGCTGCTGGGGTAATCGCAGGGGAAGTCGATCAAGAAGTGCAAGGGCACTGTCACGAAGCCGATGTGGGTCACTTCCTATGTCGAGACTCAGACCAGCAAAACAGCTACTACAGTATGTCTTTCAGAAAAATATTGCGAGAAAAACATCAGAAAGAAACACTGAATCCCACCACTCCATGCTTCCATCTGAGTACCAATGATGCCATTCCACAGGCTCAAGTCATCATCTGCAGGAGCCGCAGCAGCCAGTGGGATGGGCTCTTCTTGCAAATGCTTCAGATCTGACAAGATCCGCTTGCGGGCGGCACTGCTCAACATGGACATAGCGGGCACTTGACGGGCGGGCTTGATGGGGCAAATTTCAGCTGTTGATCCAGCGACGTCATCGAACATGTCAATTCCAAACCCAAGCTTGAGGAGAATCACGAAAGTTGCCCTCCCGACAGTATTCGAGCATTGTCTTGGAACTTCACGGAAGATGTGGGATCGAATTCAGTTCCTTTCCCTGCCACCACCAGTAGAAATTAAGGGCCGTGGATTTTGCCAAAAAAAGGCATGTTTCATAGGAACGCTCCGCAAACTTTAGGTTGTGAAAATGCATGTGTGCAGGCAAAAAGGTAAACATATCTGCACGCGCTTGCTTGTTGCAATCCAAGTGTGAGCAAATCTGTGTGTGTAACATCGTGTAAGTAGGAAAATGATGGAACATGTATGTTTGCTGCATACTGGACTTCAAAATCTTCGTGCCAAGACCTGTTTTCAGGTCTTCTGTCATTGGCGATGAACCACCTTCTAAGACACCGGAGAGATTCTCGAAAGAACCCCATCTGTACACTGTACAAGGGCGGTGGGTGGGTAAGCTCAAGCCTGTGTTAGGCCAAAAATCTACCACTTCCCCTTACCTTTGCCCTTGCCCTTCTCACCTTTGCCCTTCTCACCTTTGCCACCATACTTGGGGCCTTTAGCTTCAGCGCGCCTTACACAACTGGCGATCCATTCGCCCGTCGAGCTGAACTTCGGCTGCGCCACATTGATGCAGCGGAAGTACGCGGACCAATCCTTCACGGAAGTCTTGCGCTCACGCCAAGAGGATTGCAGCCGTTCCAGGCGATCTGGTAACTTGCAGTTGGTGGCCT